TTCTGCCTTTCCAGGACAGGCACCTGTGAGGCGCCCTGGCCAGTGATCCCTCCAGCCCAGTCCCTGCCAGACTTGTGGACTGACGGTGTCAAATGTAAGAGGAGAAACAGCAGCTGAGAGAACACTCCGTGTTAGAACAAACAGCTGGTGACAAACGTCTATGTAATTGGAATGCCAGAAAAAATAAATTGCATCCCTTTTTATGACTAGAAGGGAATTTGACGGTGGTTTCCCACCCACCCCCCTCTTTTCCCAGCATAGATGGCCTCCATGAGCTTTGAAAGCAAATGGCATTTAACTCAGTAACTTGGCCAGGAGGATTTGGAGCAGAACCTCGTCTCACCACCCCACTTCATGTAGGAGGCAGGATGGGGAGGTGGTAGGGGCCCTGGCACACCTCTCTGACCAGCTAAGTGGCTCTGGGCAAGTTCCTTAGACCTCCAAGCCTCAGTTTGCTATTTGTGCAATGGGGCTCCGCCAGCACCCTACAGGGCTGGTGGGAGGAGTCGACGAGGTGGTAGCATGGGAAGCATAATCACCATGCCTGGCACAGGACCCGGGCTCAGGAATGTCGGGTATTTTCAGTATTCTGGTGACACATTGCACTGGGGTCCCAACAGTATCTGTGAGCGACTCTCACATCTGTGTGAAATGCCCTGATGGGCAGAGGGACAGTGAGAGTAACACAGTAAGTCACTTAGACAGAAAAAGGGGCTGAGGTGACCTCAGTTTGGGAATTCCAACCAAAAAGACCCTTAGAAATCACTTCAGCCAGCAAGTCCCCTTATTGAAGCGGAGACCAGAGTCCCAATGGGATGACTATGTACATGGCAGGTGGAAACAGAGCTGAGACTGTGGCCCTTGGCGGGCACTCTGGGGACACAGAAGGCCATGCACATGGAGGCGCTGAATCCAGCCAGAACAGGAGCTCTTGAGACCCAGCCTTGCATCCTCCAGGGCTCACGAATGGTCCACAGAAAGGGCAGGTGCCACCAGGTCAGCCTGAGGCCTGGGCTCAGCCACCCAGACAGCCAAGGACCCCTGGGAACATCCTCAGCTCCCATTAATCACCCCAACTCAAAACCAGTGTGTCACCTCAGCTTGTCCCCAGCACTGTGGGTACAGAAATTTGCACTTAAAATTGTTCTTCCAAAGAGAAGTCAGGTCACCCTTGGATATGCTCTCATCAGAGAAAAGCCCCCCTTGCCCAGAAAGCAGGGAAAATGCAAGAAAGAGGGAAGACGCAAGTCTGAGGGAGCTGCCCCAGCTTCAGGGCTTCCAGACTATCCACGCAGCAGGGCGCAGGCTCCCGGCCAGCCTTCCTGGGCTGGTAACAGCTACAGTCACAGCCCCAGGGTCCTTACTGCTGTCCAGGCCTCTGGTACCGCCCATCCTCAACTCAGCACTTTAGGATTTGTCTTCTCTCTCCCCACCCCCATCCTGGGGACTGTGAGCAACTTGAGGGCAGGGACTTACTGGCCATTTATCACCAGGGCTTCAGCTACGCCAACCATGTTAGTAGCTGTTACTATTACTATTATTATTACTCAGTGGCATAAAATCTCTGGAGGGTGGTGCGCTCGATTGTGGGAAATTGATCCTTTCCTATTCTGCAGGTCTGGCAAGGCTCACCCAGTCCAGGTGCTGCTCTTCCTCCTCTTCCTCCTCCTCTTCTTCAGAAGCTCCCAGGAGTTGCTGCTTTAAAAACAGGAGCTGCAGAAATGTGGCCCAGAGCCAGGTGCTTAACGTGCACTATCTCCAGCTGCAGCAGCCCGAGTCAGAACTGAGCTCTCCAGAGCCCTTCCACTCTTCCCGCCTGTCTCTCTGCTGGGCACCCTCTGACACAGGACTCTCTGCACAACCTAGGCTTCCAAATGGAGCTCTGAAACTTCCAAGTCTTGTCGTGGGGCCAGAGATGGAGGACTCACAGGTCAACGGATGTAGCTCCCCACCCCATGGCTGGGAAGGGTTGAGATAGGCAAAAGGATGCACTTGGGGGCTGGCGGCGAGCCAAGTCCACTTGGCAAGCTGAGTTTAAATCCCACTCTTCACACAGGTCTGAAGGGACAAGGCAGCTTGTTAGACCTTCTGGGGATCTCAGAGGTTAAGACTGAGCTCCATCTATCAAGAAGGCATCCTGAGAAGGGGTCGAACAGCCTCTCTGGGACGCATTAACCATGGGGAGCCATCCTCGAACAGGATAGCTCAAATCCCCAGGAGTCATACTGGATGGTCAGCCCCACACAGCCAGCATTCATCGAGGACTGCCTTCGAGCCAATCACTTACATCGGCACAAGTTTTCTAGTTTCTTCTTTCTTTGTTTTCTAGCTCCCTCATTAGGATGTAATCCTGGCTCATACCCATCCCCATACCTTCAGGCTGACCTCAATGGCCACAGGGGAGGGGTACAGGTGCTTGATCTGCACCGCAAATCCACGTGCTTCGTCTACAGGGACTATGGAGGGTCAAGCCCACCCACCAGGAATACCCATTATGGTGCCATGTGTTTTGCGTAGGATTCCTGGTCTCTAACTCACTGCAGGTGCTCAATAAACACTGAATTAATTAATTAATTAATTAATTACTAAGTGAATGGATGAATAAGTGAATGAGTGTATCTCCAGGGACAGCAGCTCCCTTGGTTCTGGTTAACAAAATGGTGGTCTGCATCAGGCACTCAGGGCCCCTGGGTGGTTAACTGGAGACCATTCTCAGGGAGTTCCCTGGGAACTCCTCTACCTGCATGGTGACAGAGGTGTAGGAGGGTACAAATGGTAAGAGAGGGCTGGTCCTGTGAACCCCTAACCTGCCAGGGTGCAATGCCAGGGCTGGAGAAGGCCTCAGGTGTCCAAGCAGCTCGAGGACCCTGCCTGCCTAAGTCCTCTTGGCAGTAGTGACTGTCCAGGCACAGCGCTCAGGAAATGGCAGCCCTGAGACAGTTCGCCAGCAGAAGGCGATGCATGAAGCAGGTTGCCCTGTGCCCTTCTGAGGCAAGGCAAAACCTCCACTTGGACAGTCAGACAGGAAAGGGCCTTAGAAATCACTGATGATGTTGCCACCATCCCCATACATCAGCGAGAAAACTGAGGCTTTAATAGGTTAAAAAATAGATCCTAGATGACACATTGGTAGGTGGCCAAGCCAGGACTTGTAACTCAGGGCTGTTTGATGCTCTTAACCACAATCTGGCATCTCAGTCTTCTGGTCTAGACCATGGGGAGCTGGACCAGATGCTCTCTAAGGTATCTTAGATTTGAGGTGATTTGGGGGGAAGCCAAATGCTTGTCACTGCTGGGCATCTTCACCTCACCCACTTCTTTCCTCACCTCCTAGGCCCCTCCCCAGTCCAGCACACTGTCTGCTCCGATCCAGGGACAGGGGAGGGAGGGAGGGGGCCAATACCTTTCTAGTACTCCTGCCTTTAGTGGGTAAGGGGAGATACAGGGATGGGGACTGAGAGGCAGAGATGGAGTAAATGGGGCCTGCCCATTCACACCTCCAGGCAGCCCGTCCAAATGCCAGGGGAAGTTCACTGGAAGTTTACAAACCTCCTTTGTCACAGAGCCCTGCGTGGAGCCATCAATCACACCCTTAATTTACCCGTGTCACTTTCCAGAGGAAAGCTGCTCTGAGAGCAGCCAGTGGCACTTCCTCTCTCACACTTGACGAGGATTCCATCTAATTGGTCCATGTTAAATCACTCTCAGGAATGCAATGTGCAGTTCCCACAGCGGCGGCAATGGCTGTAGTGAGCACATTCTGGGGCCCTCCTTGGGATGGGCAGGAGAGCCCACGGGGGCCTCCCTGGCTCGGGGCCCAGGAGCCTCTGGGAAACCTGGAGAACCCAGAGGGGAACCTGCTGGAGAAGGGGTCTGGGGGAGGAATGTCGGGGATAACAGGGAGGGGCGGGCGAGGAAAGAGTTCAGGAGGATGTCAGTCACCAGGTCCCCCTTCCCTCCTTATCCCTGGATGCCCAGGGGAGCCAGGCATCTCTCACAGCCTCCATCCGCCTACCAGACATAGCCAGTCCCACCCTGTCTTTCTCCCCTAGCCTCATTGGAACAGAGATCCAAAGAGTTGCCATAAGCCTTACTCAGCACTGCCTGGCACTGACCCCAGATGGAAATGCTGTAAGCACAGGCCATCTGGGAACCAAAGCGGTGCCCAATACCTTTGCACATATTTCTCCAAACACATCAGGCTTTATACAGGCTGTTCCCTCACTTCAGATGCTGCTACCTGCTTCATCTGCCTGGTGACCTCCTAGCAGTCCTGCTGGTCCCACCTCAAACACCACTTACACTAAGATACCCTTTCATACTCCCTTGGGCAGCAGAGGTAACCTGTCCCTCCTCTGCCTGGCCTTCCACCACCCCTAGCATATACCTCTGAGACCTCCTCACCAGACTGTGCCACCTTTATCTACTGGCAGGACCATCCTGTGGGCTGTGTGGGGACTGGGACCAGGTGTTTGTCATCTTTATATCCCTTCCCTGCATTTCAGGCACATGGCTGGGGCTCAGCAAATCTCCCCAGAATGAACGAATGAATATATGAACCTCACTTGCCTTAATGCATGGCTTCAGGTAACCCACAGGCCGAGTCCTATTCCAAAAACATCCCAAAGGGCTCTTCTAGGCTGTGAGACGCTGCTTAGGGGATCTCACCCTGATATGACATCTATCAGGTAATTCAGCATAGAGCATTTAAGGCCACTAAGAGTTTCAGAGATCAAGCACTTAATCCTCATTTAAGTGCTGAGCAAAGCCAGAGGCCCTGGATGACTGTCCAAGGCATCCAGCAGCCCATTACCAGGAGTAGGGTCACCCCATAATCCCAGGAATGTGAGCAGCTCTGAGGCTGGGGCAACCCCCAGCAAACCTCCAAGATGCTGATCTCGTTGGCCCCTTTGGAAGCCTGGGTGTGTGGGGCACCCCAAGTTCCTGTTCCCCCTCACTTGCCCTCCCACAGAGGCGCTGCCTAAGGGGCTGGTAGGTACCTTGCGCTTCTTGGCACGGCCCTCAGCCTGCAGGGTGTGGGTGCAGCGCTGCACGCACTCGGAGAAGCTGAGGTTGCTGTGGTCAGCGCTGTAGTCGAGGTCAGCCAGCCGCGCCAGGGACAGGATGTAGTTACAGGCGATCCTCAGGATGGCCAGTTTGGACAGCTTCTGCCCGTACGAGTAACACGGCACCTGGTGGGTGAGAAGGCATCAGGAGGAGCTGCCCGGGCCTCAGTGCTGAGCGCGGCCCCATGGGGCACCCTGGCCAGGCAGGCATGCGGCCGGTCATGACAATGTCCCCACCACCCAAAAGGGGACTGCTGGGCAGTGTAGGTGGCCTATCTAATCCCTCCATCTGAATTTAATTCTCACTCTAAGCACCTGCTGTTTCCGCACACACAGCTCAGCTCAGTCACACTCACAAACTCTAGGAGGCATTCCCATTTTGTAGGGGAAGAAATGAGGCTCAGCTCATGCCTGACAGTCAGTCTGAATGAAGCACAATGAATCCCCACAACAACCAAGCTCTGTCCCCTACCCTCTCTGAGGCACGTCTCTAAGAGAACAGACTTGTTTTAGCTCTGATATTCCATTTATTCATTCCTTTCAGTGACATGTGTTTTGCTGGGCCCTTAGGGGTCTGACAATGAATATAACTTGGCTCCTGACTTACGGAGCTCACTCAGAGTGAGGCTCTACCACCCTCATGGAGGTAGGCCCCCGGGACTGTGGGAACATGGGAGAAGGAAAGTGGCATGCTCAGCAGGATGGTGCGTGGCTGCCTCCCTTTTCCTTTCCTCTTTTCCTTTGTGCCCTTTGAGCCTGGGGTGCTGCTGGGCACACAACTGCTGCATAGGAAGTCCTTAGAGCCCCCACCAGACTGAACATGCTTGGCAGTGATGCAGTGCCAACTAGACACTCGCTCATCACACAGAGGTATTACAGCGTGAAGAGATGGCGCCTGTAACTTTTTAATGTTGGCCTTTAATGTTTGTGTTGTGTGAGCAAATAGCTACACAGACCACAGCAGAGTTCTGTGTTGTAATGTGGGACTGACACCACAAAGTCCATGGGGCAGGTGCTCACTGATGGAGCCTACTGCTGCTATGATACACCCATCACCTAAAAGGACAAATGTGCTCGCCCAGCAACCAAGAGTCCAGGCTCTTCCTCTCCCTGGCTCTACAGGATCTACAGCAGCATCTAGCCCTACCACCAGCTGGTACTGATTAACCCTCATCCCACAGAGTGGGACCCCACAGCAAGCACATCTACGAGTATTTAGCAAGTAGCCCCACATGCCAGGCACTGTTCCAGGGCAGGCTCTCAACCGGGGATGATTTTGCCCCTCAGGGTACACTTGGCAATGTCTGCAGACATTCTGGATTGTCCCTACTGGGGGACAGTGAGAGGGAGGTGTTAATGGCCTCTCCTGGACTGGGGCCAAGGATGCTCCTGCAGTGCACAGGACGGGTACCACGGCTGGGGAGCCTAAATACATCATCCACTTTGATCTCACTTTAAATCTCACTTTGTCCAGGAGCTTTCCCTGACCTCCCTCCACAACCGTGACCCAGGCAGCAAGTGAGGAGAGCAGTGAGGGGCACCTCCCTTAATAGGGCTAGAATAGCTCCCATCTTACCTCCTGATTATTCTGACTCATTTAAAGGCCAGTCTCCCTGGAAGTTGTTGGGGGAAAGCCCGTATCTGTGGGACCTCGCCCAGTTCCTGCCCATAGGACCCTTCGAAGGGTTTGCTGAATGAAGGAATGAATGAACAAATGAATGGTCCCCCTCCACATCCACCAGATGACTCCAGAATGTTTAGAACTGGGTTCAAAAACCTTTCCTCTCTCTGAAAATGGAGATCCAGCTATTTGGTGCAGAGCTTAGACATGCACACCTTTTAGTCATCTAGCTTCAACTCCTGGCTCTAACTCTTCTGAGCTGTAAGACCCTGGGCAAGTGATACAACCTTCCTAAGCCCTGGTTTCCTCCTCATATTGATAACAGGCCTGATCTCACAGCATGGTAAGGATTCAGTGAGATGCTGTGTGCATTACACAGAGTAAGGCCTGATGCAAGTTAGGGGCTTCTTAGTCAGTGGTGCATAAATTCTCCAAAAAGGGGCTCCAGAGAATATAAAAAGCAGGAAATCTGGAGCCAGAACACAGCACCTGCTCATCACCCCTAACATGGCAGCCCATGCCAGAGGTGAGGTTTGCTATTGCCTTTTAAAATCCTCCAGCAGACAAAGAGTCACCCCTCACGAAGCTAGGAAACCCAGAGAGGGGCAGAGAGGTGACAGAGAGAACTCTGTCTCCTGGGCATTCCTCCTTCCCACCTCCCACTCCCAGCCCTGGCCACAGCTCCAGACCCATCCAAGAAAAACCATGAGAAGCTAGCAGAACAATGCACTTTGCCTGTTCCAACCAGAGTCCACAGAATCCTGCTTTATCAGCCTGAGCAAATAAACATGGTCTGTGGGATCCTGAGAGTCCTGGGGCAGGGGAGGGGGTCTTAAGGCAAGCCCAGCACCTCTGCCTCCTCTGCACCCTGGGAGGGAATGCCCACCTGGTGGAGGCCCTGGACACTGGGTGCAGCTCCGTGACACAGTCCCCTAGTATTGTTTTCCATCAGAAGCCATGCTGGGAGTTACCCTGCTCTTTGAGCTCATCAGCCTGAGAAACTGGGCTTCCCTGCCAATAGGGAGCAAGAATCTTGGGAGGGATCTCCATGCAAAGATCTAGGGTCACCGAGGGACTATAGAGCAATAGATGAGGTCAAGGCCAAACCAGGATTCCCATACCAGATTCTGGGCCAGTTTTGTGCCAAATTTATCACTTTGCTTCTGTCAAAATCCAGGTCTAACAAGAATACCACCTATTGAGCTCTAGTTGTGTATCTGGCACTGTGGTAGCTATTTACAAGTAGTTTAACCCCGTTTAAAACCTTCCCCCAAATAAAGATTGTTATCCCATCTGCACATAGAAAATCAGAGGTGACATATTGGGCCTCAGCTCACCCCACTAAGACCCAGTTGGAGCCAGAAGCTCATCTGTCTAGTGCCCCAGGAAGGCAGGCTGCCACAGGGCTCTCCCAGCTCCCACCACAGAGGTGACCATGCAATGGACACCAAGGGCACCTATGGGCGGCTCACCCCTACTCCTCCCCCTCCACCTCCCTTCAGGGGCTGCTCCTCTGCCTACCTGGCTAATTCCACATCCTCCTGGTGCCCACACCCCAAGATGCAGCCCCTTGGCCCCTGCCAGCCCAGCTGGGAATCCCTGGCTTGGGCTATCCCCACAAAGTAAGAGTCTAGCAGCAGGTTCTGGTTCTGGGAAGTTGAGGCAAGGGTGGAAAGAGCCAGTCTGAATCCCAGGCACTTACCAGCAATGGGCTTTGGGCAAGTGCCTTCACTCCTCTGAGCCTCAGTCTCCTCATCTAGGGAGTGGGGAACACAATGCCTGTGTACCCTCCATGCCTCTTGGGACCAGGCCACCTCTTGCTATTTACTGTGAGATACTAAGGCCAAGCAGAGGGCTGGTGTTTTGAATACAATGCCTATATTCATCTTAACACAGCCCCAGTGGAGCAGAAATGATTATTACCACAGTAAGAAGACTTTGATGCCCAGAGGGTATAGAACTTCCTGAGTCTCTCAGCTTCTGAGAGATGAGTTGAGTTTTCAACTGATGCTGGGCTCTTTTCAATTGGCCAGAAACAACTGCTTGAGGATTTGGATGAGTATCTATAGCCTAAGGTGGGAAAAGGGCAGCCCACCCTTTTGAGCTGGGAGATGCCATGGGACCCCAGCCTCTGTGCATTACCTCTCTGAGCATCCACAGCAAGGCCCAGAGCCCAGCCACCCCATCACCTGCAGAGACCCCACAGCAGTTGTCTGCTCACCCTGTTCAGAGGACACAGGCCAAAGGAGGTAGCATGGCTATGTGGATGCACTCCTGACAGGCTGCCCAGCTCCTGGGAAAGTAAGAAGACCTGCCTCATGCTCGCCCCACATGGATTAAAGCTTCAGAGGAGCAGGCCTGGGGATTGCCATGAGGCCCCATATGCCCCTATATCATTCCATCCTACCCACCCTAAGCCGAACTCTCTCCGGGCACCAGGAAGCAGGAAAAAGCCAGAAGGGCCCTGGCCTACTCCTGGCCATCCATGTGACCCTAGGCAAGTCCATAATTATAGGGCACCTCAGTTTTATCACCAAAAATGGCCATAAGAATACCTGCTACCTCAGAATGGGACCACAGTGGGCAAATGTAGAAAGTTACTGCAGAGAAACCTACCAGCCAATGCAGGACAGGCCTTCAAGTCCTCACCCTCCTGCCTGTGTGCCAGCTACTCCCCAGCCTCAGCCCCAGCCCCAGATGATCTCCTGGAAGTCCACCAAGACTCCTGGGCCCACAGAGCTCCAACATCACTCTGTCCACTTGATTTGAAATTAGTCTTTAATCACCTCATGCCATGAGCACTGGCTTCCTGGGTGAAGCCACTCCACCCAGAGCTGTTCAAGGTCCTTATCAACTTCTATTTAAATAGATTCTTTAAAATCCCAACTTCCTACACAGCCATGAGGCTGGACCCTGAGAACCTGGGTCTTAGTAGTTAAGAGCCATGACCCTAGAGCCAGACAGGCCTGGGTACACATCTGGCTTCATCTGTCTCTGTAAGTGTCCTCGTCTGTAAGATGGGATGGCAGCACGACAGATACACAACAACAGGCCCAGGGAAGGCACTTCATCCAATACAATGAGGCTCAATAACAGCCTCCCTGGTGACTGTGGACATCAAGCAGCAGGTAGAGACCTCTGTCACCCCCCACCCATCTGCATGGAGTCCCCAGAGCAGACCAGTCCTCCTGAGGAGACGGGCATCATCTGCTATGAGGTCATGGCCCCTGGCATCCTGCAGGGTCTGAGATTGAGGAAGGTGCAGGGCTGCGGACACTGTCCTCATGCCACACCCACTCTGGGCCAGCCTGAGTTCACTCAGCTGAGGATCCCCCTGGAGACTCCAGGGGCAGCAGAGGAAGCACCCAGGCCCCACCTGCTTGGCACTTCCTTCACCTCAGTGGGTCCTGAAGGCTCCCTCCCCACTGCTGTCGGTCCTCTGCCCAGCAAGGCTGCCATTCCTCCATCTAGGTTGAGGGGCTTCCTTCCAGCTTTGGGGGAAGAGAGGAAATCTGCACACACACCAGTGCCCCACGGGTGAGCCCAGCCTGTGAGCCAGAAGGTTCTACCAGGAGGCAGAGGAACCACATCTCTGGCCCCTCCCACTCCCACCAGGCAAGGCTAGGCTTTCCCTTCGCCTCCTCCACCCAGCACCTGGCCCCAAGCAGCCCTGCACATGGGCCAGGCCCAGCTGTGCACACATGGCCATCACATGAGGTGGCAGAGAGGGCCCTATGCAGCTGGGCTGGTGGCAAGTGCTATGGCCTGACCATCTGCCCTGCACACCCATCACCCTGATCCCACTGCCATGCACCCCCAAGACCAGAGGGCCTTTCCCCGACCTGCACATCCTTAGCCAAGCAGCATCACCATCCCCACTCCTCCATGGTTAAGAGGACAGCAGGTTGGACAAAACAGGAGGCTGTCTGGCTTCCCCTTGCTAAGAATGGACAGCTCCAGGGCATTCGAGCACCTGAGAAGCAGAGCTGTTATGAGCCTGGGCACTGGAGCAACTCATTGACTCTAACTCCAATCCAGGCTCGACAGTGACACAGCACACGGCTACACAGGCTGCACCTGCACCATGCCAAGGAGGCACCCGCACACTGAAGTCTCGTGAATGGCAGCTAAGGAGGTGTGCAGTGCAAAACCCTCCAGACCACATGTGGTGGCAAAAGGCTTTAAAATCTCAACCAGTGTATGTAAGCTCTTGAACCTATCTCACCATCTGTGAAATGGGTGGAGAGGTAATAATTCCTATTTCATTAAATGAGCTAATACACATAGTATGCTTATCACAGTGACCAACACAAAGTAAGCATCTGACAAATGGTAGTTTCTGTGATTGCTGTTTAAATGACTACAGAAGTTTTATTTCTACATCTGTCAAGGCCTTGCCCAGCAATGAGGACATTGCAAATGCTCAAAATGTTCATTCCTCCTACAACCCCTACCCCTTTCTTCATTCGCTCTTTGCACAGAAGCTGTGTATGGGGTATTAGCACCATTTTCCAGGCATAGCAACTGAGGCCCAGAGAGGGAAAATCACTTGTCCCTGGTCATACAGAAAGCATGCCAAGGCACAACTCAAACCTCAGTCTCCAGACTCCCTGCCCAGGCTTTTTTCACAAAACCAGGAAGCTACTCAGGTGAATGAAACCCCAGATCAGAGCCACTATCCCAGGAGGACTGCCCTTGACGCTGCAATAGCCAAGGCCTCATGTCAGGCAGACTCATCCTCTCTTTGCCTCCTTTCCCAAGGGCCCACTCCAAACAGTCGAGACTGAGTCTAGATACAGAGCTATAGCCTGTCTGGAATGGTGTGTATGTGTGTGTGTGTGTGCGCGCAAGTGCGCTGAGAGACTAAGGCCCGAAGGAGGGAGGAGCTTCTCCATCAGATGGGTGCTGAGTGGTGGAGACTTGGTGGGTCCCAGCTCTGCGACCAGAAGTGCCCTAGCTATATTTCTTTCCCTCCCAGACAACAAGCAGATGCCCACATGGCCTAGCAGCCTTTCTGGGGAAGGGACAGAATGGTTTGGGCAAGGAGGGAACAAAGAGAAGCAGGTGCCTCTGTGACCGTGCATTTGTGTGTATTCTTGGGCACATGTAATGATCATGTGTATCGGCACAGGTGTGTGTACCTGGATGCATGTGCACACTCTCTCCCTGAATTTGTCCCTTTTATATAGAATTTCCCCAATGCAAGGGTAGAAGTGAAAGGAGACCATGATTAGTAATCTCATCTCAGAGTGTCAACTGTGTGTACACCCAGCTTCTGTTAACAAACACTCCCAGTTGGGATGGGGCCATGACACTGAAGGGTAGCACTGTGGGAGCATCTGGCCAAGAAGGCATTCCAGAAATTGCTGTCAGCTTCCCCAACCCACTAGGTGATCCTGGACAAATCTCCTTCCTTCTTTTTCCAGGCCAGTTTTCCATTCCACGAAATGGGCTATTTCAACCTGACTGGGATGTTATGATCAAATAAGATAGAAAGGATTATTGAAATAAGTTAAAGCCACTGAATAAATGAGATGCACGTGAGTGTTTTGAATATTTTCTAAGAAGTGAAAGAAGCAGCTGAAGGGGCAAAAACAGTCTTGAATTGACAATTAAAGGACCAAGGTCCCAGCTCTGTCCTGTTACTCATCAGCTGTGAAGCTTGGGTGGGGCATGTGGCCTCCCCAAGCCAAGAGAGGCTTCCTTAGTTGCCAGGTGAGCAGGTGCCAGGCATCTCTCTGCCCTTCTGTCATTCTTCCATCCTAGTGATGTCCTATGGGCTGCAGGCCTCCCAAGGATTTCTGAGACATAAAGCCACTGCCCAAGGGTAAGACTAAATGCTCCACTGGGCCCACTGCTGAGGGTCCCAAATGGTGTGGCTATGGGCAGTGTCCCAGCCTGGTCTGTGACAGCTCCTTGACCCTCCACTCCACCTCTCTGACCAAACATCTCACCCAAACCCAAGCACGACACTTCAGCTCAAAAGTCACAGAGCTTCTTTTCCCTGGGAATTCAATTCACTTCCCACGGTTGGACACAGTCACCTTGCCCACCCACCAGCAGGAGGAAGAGGAGAAGGAGATCCAAAAACAGGATCATGTTTTCTTAAATGCTTTGTCATTGGCTAAAGCCTAGAGAGGTTCAGTAACTTCCCTGGAGTAACACAGGAAGTCAGCTGCAGAGCAAGCAAAAACTCTGACGATTCAAAGCAGTTGCATCTACCCCCAACTCTACCCTATGCCCTGTGAGGGGTTGGGACAGGGAGCACTTACCACTCGCTTCTTGGCTCTCCCTTCTCTCTAAGAAAAGAAGCCTAGGACCCCAGGGCAGTCCCAGTCTTGTCTAAAGTGGAACTGTAAAACGGCCCCTCCCCACTATGGGTAATTCTTGGACAAATACTCTTCCCCATTCTTTCAGAGAATGCCATCTGTGTAGGGCAACTCCCACCAGCCCCAACCTGAGAAGCCCCGGGCCTATCCCAAAACTAGGCTTCAAAGATCCTCTACCTAGCGAGTTTGTACCCTCAGCAGACCTGCCAGCTTCACCACAGGGTGGGGGGCAGCGGGAGAAGAGATCTGGGAGGCTCTCACCAGCCAGCTGCTGAGGCTGCCCCGGGGACAGGATGCAGGCTTGCAGCCCTGGTCCTTAAGGGGAGGAGTGCAGAGCCCAGAAGCAACCTGACTGTAGGACATCCCTGCTGGCGGGCAGGGGCTGAAGAGCGGCTGACAGGCTGCCCCGGAATGCCCGGTGCCTTCAAAACCAGGTCGTTTCAGACCTCCCAAGAGCCCATGCTCAGTGCCAGAAAGGGAAGGGTCTTCCTCCTTCTTCGCCTGAGACATTCCCCTTCTCCACTCCCCACCGTGCCCTAGGGACTCCAGGAGACAAATACTCCCTGCCATAAAAGTGAACTATGAGGGCTGAGGCCAGACGCGCAGACAGGGTCACCCCCGGAGTGGGAGGGGAACCAAGGCGCCCCTGAGGCCAGAGATCTTGAACCTTCAGCCCCACTTTGCGAACTAAAATCTGAACCAACGCTGTGGCCGAGGTCACTGGCCCCGGAAGGCCCAAACCTGTCCAGGCCCGGGTCAATCGGACGCGGACAACTTGCCGCTCACACATACCCTCCTCCTCCTCCCTAAAGTCCCCCTCGCCATTCACCCACCCACTCCAGCAATCGTCCCCGGGCGTAGTGAGGGTGTGCGGCCAGGAGCCGGTACCTGCTTCCTGAGCGCCTCGAAAGCTGCGCTGATGGTGTGAACCCGCGTCCGCTCCCTGGCGTTCGCCAGGAGCCTCCGGGTCTGCTGCAAGGCTTTGATCTCGGAGGCTGCGGCGGTCGCTTCGCCTGGCCGTTTCCTAGGCGACGCAGAGGAATCCGGGTGCTTATTGTAAATTACGTGTGAAATTGGCGAGTAAGAACTTTCCGCCGGGCGCGTGGGGGGCGCTGGGCGCACGGAGGACTCTGGAGGCGCAGGGGGCGCCGACGGCGTGGGGCGTGCAGGCGGTGCGCACAACAAGATGCGGGGGCGCAGGCCAGGCTCCCGGAAAGGCTGTGCCTCGGGGCCCCCAAGTACCTGGCCCTGGGGCACGGAAGGCGGCGGCGGCGGTGGCGGCGGCGTGGGGAGTCCCGGTCCCACTGCGCCCAGGGCGAAGCCGCGTTTCCGCGCGTCCGAGACCTCCGGCGCCCGGACGCCCCCGCGCTCCCCCGCCGTGTCCGCGCTCCCGCCTGAGGGAACGGCCGGCGCCACCGGGACAGGCACCGGGGCCGAGACCGGCTGCAGCCGCTGGGTCCTGTCCCTCAGCCCGTTGGTGGCGGTGGCGCCGTGCTCCGGCGCTTCCAAGTCCAATCGGAAAGTTTTATAGCCGTTCGCGCGCCGCGCCGGTTCCTTGGCTTTCCGCTTGAGCTTCTTGAGGCCGTTTAGCTCCTTCACGCACACGGTCTTCCATGGCCCGTCCTCGAGAACCGGGATGTGCTTCATGGCGCGGACAGCGCCCGAGGCACTGGCGTGGGGCTACCCGGGACGCGCGCCCGCCGCGCTCTATCCGCACGCTGCGCGCCGGCCCTGCCCCGGCCGCCGCCGCGCTCTGCGCCTCGGAGTCTCTAGCTCTCCCCCTTCTCTCGCCCTCCCTCCTCCCTTTCTCCCCCTTGCCCGGGGCAGCTGCGCCGCCGGCTCCGCGAAGCCGCCGGGCTGTCCGCTCCTGGAGCGCTCAGAGTGTCATCTGAAGTCGCTGCAGCCCTGCCAACATTTCGGGAGAACGCCCGCTGAGCTCCATCTGTGTTTGTTTAGCCTCAGTTTACACAGAAGCCCAGTTCGCGAGATCAGTCAGCGCCGCCGCCCGGAGAAGAGGCAGCTCCCGCCGCCGCCGCCGCCGCCTCCCCAGCCCGGGCCGCCCGAGCCGCGAGCGCCTTTAAAGAAACAGGAAGCATTTTTCAAAACAGCTGGGCTGCCGGCCGCCTCCTTTGTCCGCGTCTTGCTACCTCCCCCCACCCCCACCCCCTCCCCCCCAGAACCTGCCTTCTAGGCTCTCTCTCCCCGCCCCCTCCTCAAGTCCGGGGCGCGTCTCTTTTCCCGGAGGACAGTCTGCTCCCTACAGAACTGCCCGGAGCACGTGGCTTTTGGGCCCTTCGGCCCTTCCCCAAATCAGAGCTCGGCCTTCTCTACCCATCTCACTAACCTCTCCCGGACCAAGCATCTACCTTCCACACCCATAACCTCCCAGTCCACCCCCAGTCCCCCCACCCCCCACTGCAACTCCGTACTTTTCCTGGGGTGTGCGGGGGAAGGGAAACTCTCAGGACTTGCCCAAGACCCTCACGCTCACAGTACCGCAGACCCCATCCACTCGGTCACTTGCTGGAGCAGGGAGGCAGGGACTAGGAGAAGGCCTAAGTGATGGGGAAACTGAGGCTTTGAGAAGCAATGTGCTTTCCCACTGTCACACAGCAAGTCAGGCCGGCTAAGAGGCCAAATACAGCTGAAGCTTGGAATTGAGACCGACCTAGCATCTGTGAGAATCTGAAGTCATCTCACCCCAGGCTGCCCACTAAGCCCAGATTTACTCAGCTATGAAATGAAAAATGCGGAGAACATCAACGCCTAAGTCACGCACGACCTTGCTGTGAAGAATTAAACCCCAGGCACATAGGAGGTGCTAGTCAAATAGTAGCTTTGGCTATCATTATTATTAATAACACAGGCAGACTAGCTCCTAGAGGCAGATTTCTAGAGTCAGCCCTAGGTCTGCCACTTACACATTAAGCAACCTTGAGCAAGACAGTGAACCTCTCTGTGCCTCCAAAGGGCATCTGTAAAACTGAGGTAATCGTTGTACCTTCCTCCCAAAGCTGTTGTGACAACTGAGCATATATGTGTGAAACACACAGAGCAGTGCCTGGCACGAAGTAACAGCTTTGCAAGTTGCCCACTGTTATGGGCAGGGGACAGAGGTCGACTCCCCAGACCCTTGGTCTTCTGTGCCATCCCACTAGCGATTCTGGAAACATGAGGTCAAACCACCTCTGCAAGTTGGCCCTGAAGGACCAGCACAAGGCTTCACTCCCCCCACCCCTTTCTCTGTGGCCATTCTTCCTTAAGGCAGCAGTGGGTGCTTAAAGCAATTTGGAAGGAGAGGATGGACCTTGACCTTGGCCTTGAGCTCTGGCCTCTGCAGTCACTGGGCTCTTTATCTTTCTGGTTTCAGCCCTCCACTCCTGACCCCAGACCCATCAGACCTGCTAGGGGTTTTCCTGTGAACATGCAGGGCTCATACCCAGTCCAGAATGCCCTCTCTCCTCCAGGGGAGAATGCCCTGGTGAGGGCTGAGGGGGCAGATGACATGGTGACCTGTGGCATGCAGTCCAGGGAGGTAGGATGGGGAAGTGGTCCAAGTAGGAGGGCCAGGAGCATAGAGCTGGGGCCAGCAGCCTGGGGGTAGACTCTGGCTTTTCCACTATCAAGCCCCATGACTATGAACAAGACGTTTTATCCCACTGGGGTTCTGTTTTCTCATCTGTCCTTGAGGATGATATCTCTGTCCAGCCAACTTCTCAGGGCAGTTGGGAAAGTAAAAAGAGATCATGGATGTAAAGGGCTTTGACATGAGGCTTCAAACATACACTCACATTTCACATTCACACAGGGACATGCACGTGAAGGCATGCAGTTTTCTGTTAATAGTAAATGCAAACCTTATTTTTTCCCAAGATGGGTCCCAGTGTCATAAGATGTGTGCTCCCTTAGGCACCCCTAACCCTGAACACCCAGCTTCTTCCTGCACCTTATCTCCCTCCTGAAGACCAGGGGTGTGCCCCAAAGAGGAGTCCTCATTCTTCTGCTGTTTTGCCACCCAACTGGGACCCTAATGCTCACAGGTCTGCCACATCTTCCCTCTGCAGAGCACTCTTCCTCACCTTTGATGACTGGCTCTGGTCTCCCCTTCTCCCGCGAGCCTTGGTGGGTCCCCACAGCCCCCTTCACTCTTGCTGACCTCTGCACATGCTCCCTCCCAGGTCCAGCTGAAGCTTATCCTCCACTGCAGACATATCTGGCCCCCTGGGGCTGTGAGCCCCTGAAAGGCCGGTCTTTCCTTCTTCCCTGTCTCCAAAAGTCAGTACCCAGGAAACCTTCACTGAAGGACAACCAGCCCTCATGCCTCTTTCATTCTGCAGATCCCAAGCAGAGGCTAAGACCCCAGCCTGCCCACTCCTGGTGCATGTAGCCAGTCAGTGGCAGAGATGGGGGAAGAGTCAAGCCCCCCTCTCCACAGACCTGCTAAGGCACTCTGAGCCTCAGTTTCCTCCTCTGTAAAGTGGAGATCATAGTAGTGTGCCTCACAGGGCTGCCATGAGGACTAACGGAGGCTGTGGGTACAGCACTGAATACGGCGCATGAAGTAGAGGGGATGTTGGCCCTAGGCATCCTCCGGTTAGCTCAGCTGCCTGGGCTTCTTGTTTCCCAGCATCTGCCCCCAGCTCGGGGTGCAGTTGCAGGCTGGAATGTCCATGGCTAGTGGACCATGTGGAAGTCTCTGGCAGGACTGAAACTCACACTTCAAGAGGCCAGGCTATGCCCCAAGGAAAATGATATGTTTCGGTTGAGTATCGAGGGTTCCACTCTTGCTGATCCTGAGCCCCTTGTCAAGTCCCCCCAAATAGAGGAAAAGGCCACTGAGATCCAATGGGTTGGGAGGAGGGGGAAAGGAGTGGATAGGAATGGTCAGCTGTGCTGGGCGGATGTACAGTGGGACTCAGACCCAGCCCGTCTCCTAGGACCTGCTCTGTGTGGCCTTGAGCAGCCCCCTCATCTCTCTGAGCCTGGATTCATTGTCTGGGCATTATCCCCTTAGCCATAAGATGGGATGGCAGTACGGGAACTGGAGGCAAACTAAAGGGCCCGAGTGGAGGATCCCTGTTATTACTATTCCCAGCCCACCAGGTGGCAGACTTTCAAGGTCCAGACTAGCTGTCCATGGTCCCCAAGGGCAAATCTGTGTCCTAGGGCTCCTGACTCTGCCTTCCCTGGGCCTCTTTGAGAAGTGAGGTAGTGAGACCAGCCAGGCAGCGCCCCCTGGTGGTATGACACTGCCCGAACTGCACACAACATAACCACCTTCCCACAAAGAACTTGCTGATTTTGGAGCCAGGAGAGGTGGCCCTGCAATAACAGTAATATGGATTTTGTGAATTCATAGAGTTGCAAAAATAACAAGGCGTTTGAGGCTCCAGGTGGTCTCACCCCCTGTTTTGGACGGGACAACACAGACACCCCAAGAAAACATATGCCCTACATTATAAACATCCCCCACAGATTCAACTATTTGAGGTTACCCTGGGCTGGCATGATTGTGCCATTGGGTGGTTACACATCCCTAGATGGCTGGTCCAGAGAACAGGAATGAAGCTAGAAGAGAAAAGAAGGCAAGACTTTAGCACTTAGGCCATCATGAACAAATTCTAGAAAGCCAGGCAGCAGGAATTACCACCACCAAGGAGTGGCTACAGGATCTAGGTCACTAAATCCCTATAACGACCCAAGGAGGTAAACCCATTCTACAGACAAGGGAAAAAGCTCCTAGAGGAAAACACTTGCCAACAGAAAGGAATTGAGAAAAGTGAGATTTGAACACAGGTCAACCGACTCAAAGACCAAAGCTTTAAACCATGGTACCCTGTTATCTCCTGATACGTCAGTGACGAGCATCTGGGAGAGGAGTACTGCGCCACCTTGAGGGCTGGCCTCTCTGGTAGCCTGGCTGGCCCTGCACATGCTGCCAGCCTGGGCAAGCTGCGTGCTGTCTTCCTCTCAGCTGAAGTCTTGGCTTCCTTTGGACCAGAGCAGTGCCCCTCCTGCTCCTTCCAGGTTAGGGTCAGATGGCAAAGGAACCGTTTAAGGGTCTCAGGCATAGGGATCCCAGATCTTAGCGTCCAGGCACCAGTGTCCTCCCAGCACATGCATCACCTTTGGGTAAGGACAGGACAGCTTTGCAAGCTGGCACCCAGTGATAATTGTCTTCTTGGCTGGATGGGATGGAACCTTGGCTACTTGCTACGTGAAACTCTTATTCCTGATTCTGGAGTCCCTATTTCTTGCTGTTCAGATTGTTCCAAAGTGGGTGTGTCACCCATTAGAGAAAGGGAGGAAGAATGGAAATTAGACTGCCAGCAGGAAACAGAATGCTCTTGAGGTTTGCACCCTGGGGTTGTGCTCCCAGCAGCCCGGGACAGGATCACCCAGAGGAGTAAACAGAAAGTAGAATGCGGTCAGCCTGGTGGCCTCCAAAGCCCCTCCCTCCCTCCCAGCCTCAGCCTCTGCACCCCACCATTAGTCAGCGGTATGTTGGATCTGGAGGACAGTGACGAGACATCCAGGCAGGAGCTCCTCCGGGCTCACTCACCCTTCTTCCTTCCATCTTCCTTTACCCAAGTGACCATCCCAGTCGTGGGAAATTGAGAGAGTCTCTGGGGCTGGGGCTGGGGCTGGGACAAGACCTGGATAAGGGCATTGCAGGAGGTGGCGAGGGAGGCCTCTCTGAGGAACACCCCAGACTGAGTGGGCACAAGCTCTGTGGTTAATGGAGCAGATTCTCCTGCAGAGGTCAGGGCCTGGGGGCGGCACTCAGTCCCCCCTCCTGTTGGGTGATCAACAAGCAACAAGAGGAGCCTGGCAGGATTGGCAGGTGGTGCCAGGCCTCCATACAGTTGGCCAGGTATCCTGTTACATAGGATATATTGCTCTGCTCAGAACCTCCCAGAGACTTCCTATTTTTCTCAGATATGTTAGGGACTGCCATCAATTCCTTCTCTCCCTGTGTGCATGAAGAGGGGGTATCTGTTCCTCCACTGGGTAAACCTGGGCTAGCCTGCAACTGCTTCGGCCGTGGAGCTCCACAGAAGTAGGAATGACACTGGGTGTTTCAGTTCCCTGCCAGCTGGAGCCCTTAGTCACTGTGTAAGAGGTGCAGCTA